ACTAAGAACCTCCCCACTCGAGCCCCCCACACTCCTAACCCCCACCTCAATGAGTCCTCACCTCCTGCAACCAGACCCCCATTCCTGCACCCACACTGTTGAAGCTCCCTGCACTTGAACCCCCCACCCCAATGAGTCCCAATCCCCCTGCACCTGGACCACATCTCATTGAGCCCCCCACACCTGACCCCCCCCCCCGCTGAGTGCCATCCCCTTATACCCAGACCTCCCCTGCTGAGCCCCAACCACCTTCACCTGGACCCCTCTGCAGAATCCATTACCCCTGCACCCAGAACCCCCAACAACCCCCTGTGCATCCAGATCCCCCCACACACACTAAGCCGCTGTACACAGATTGCCCCACATTGAACCCTCACCCCACACCTGGATACCTCACACCAAGCCCCTCCACACTTGGATACTGCTGGGATGAACTTGCCTGCCCCACACCTGGTGCGCCTGGCATGGAGGGGCAGTGCCCTGGGGTGTTTCTCAAGCAGGTGTCAGGGTCAGGTGCAGCTGAGTCTGTGTCCCAAGGGGCAGGGGAGCTGCAGGGTGATCTCTCACCTCCATGCAGCCAGTGGCCTGTGCTCCCCACTGCCATGCTGGAGCCTCCACATTTATTTATTGACTAATAAAATTTGCCAAATTTTAAAATATTGTGTTCAGAAATATTTTTTTTTGTGCAGAAATTTTATTTTTTTGGCACAGAATTCCCTCAGGAGTAATAGGTTGTGAGACCTGCTGACGTCAATGAGGCACTGCATGAGTTAGGGGACCATCTTCCTGCAAGAGGAGTAAGTCTCTCTTCTCGTGTTTCTAGCCAAAACCAAAAAACAGGAGGCGGTGACTGTGTTTTAAAAAAAAAAAATGCATATGGGAGAGAAGTTAAGGGTTGGGTTCTAATCTCGGTTATGCTACCAATCAATCTATTAAAATGAATGGAGTTACCTCTTATTTACTATACACTGATTTAAGATCCAAAAATGGCCTTAATGGAACTTTTTTAAACCATTAAACATGGCTGTTTGCTTTGAGTTTTAGGTGAAAGTTCTTATTCTATTTGAAGAGCGATCCCCAGTTACGACCAATAATGAAATAATTGTACTAGCTATAGAAAAATACTCCTATTTCAAAATCAAACTTATAGTAAAATCCTTTGAGCTATATTGATATGTAGGGATAGTAAATTTAACAATGACATGTTGATGGGAGCCTTCATAATTCCTTAATTGTAGGGAAACCATTATACAAGAATGTTAAGGTGAAAAGGAAACCTTTGTAGATGTTTAAAGGGGCATATCCACTTCAAGAAGCCTAAATTAAAAGGGGGGACAAAGGTCATGGGCAGTCTTTCACTGGTGATGGGTTTATTGAGAGGGAAGCCAGGAGAAGAATAAACTGCTATATAAATTTTTCTCAGTATGATGATACCAAGAAAAGGGAACATTTAAACTGAGAATTTGGGGGGGGGAAATAAATGAAGATTGGGGTAATTCCCTCCCCCTCCTGCCCAGTAGGGCTTCTGCTGATACTTTGGTAGCAGCAGGATATTTTATTGTCTCTTCAAGAAGAGCTATCAGTGCTCTTTGTGAGAAGAGAAGTGGATACTGTGTAACTGCCACATCACAAGTGCAAGTGAAAACCGAGACAAAGGATGTCATGAACGGCGTGCTTAATAGCATTACACATGGTGAGGCTGGTAAGAAGACTTCTACACATCAAAGCAGCTCATGTCTAGGGTCTGAGGTCTTCTATCCCTCCCTTTTCCTACCTTTCTCTCTATCATAGCCTTCATCCTTTCATCTATGCTCCTCTTGCCTCCTGATCTCCTCATTCTCTTTCCACCAATTCTGCTGGGATCCCCAGTTGTCCCCCTGAGAAGAATCAGCTCTCTAGATGATTTCCCAGCATTCCTATATCGAAAGACCGTGTGGATGACTCAAACAAGCAGTAACAAATTAGGCCAATTGCTGTATTAGAAACCCTTAAAAAATCCCAATTTTCAGAGAGGGTCTGTTTAAAACCTTCTAAAAATTGGGTCCCTTAAGAGATTTCTCAAGTTGGGCATCTAAAATCAGTAGTCACTTTTGAAAATCTTGGCCTAAGTGCCACAGGGAGACCAGGTATCCGCTCTTGCCAAGCCTTCAGACATTCACTAAGAACTGACAAACTCACAACTGGAGACCAGACCAGTTCATATGTATGTTAGATTTGCTGAAAATAGATATTAGTCTTATTAGAATGTTTTTACTGTTTAGACGAGAGGTGTGCAAACTATGGCCCGTGGGCCACATCTGGCCCACGGGACCATCCTGCCTGGCCCTTCAGCTCCCGGCCGGGGAGGCTAGCCCCTGGCCCCTCCCCTGCTGTTCCCCCTCCCCCACAGCCAAGCTGCTGTGCAGGCAGCGCGGTGGGCGGCGTGTCTGGCTCCAGCGGGGCAGCACGGCTGCCAGACATGCTGCTCTGAGTGGCCTGGTAAGAGGGGCCGGGGAGTTCCAGGGGACAGGGAGCAGGGGGGCGGGTTGGATGGGACAGGGATTCTGGGGGACTGG